GACACCTGAGAATCTGTTGCAGTTTATCTGCAAAATAGAAGTAAATCCAATAGACTCTGTACATGTATCAAGAATAAATATAACAAAACCCAATCTGAAAGGAAAATATTTGTTCTAGTGAACAATAAACTCTTGAGTGCCATGAGATTAGCAACAAAGCAAATTACAATTTGGCGTGGTACTAAAAGCATATTTCATCTCATTATGGGAAATTTAGGATCTGCAATCTTTTGTTGCTTATATTGAGTATTTCTTTCAGCACACTGTAATGCACTGATTTGTTTTTCCCTACTTTCTATCCCACTGAAATGCCAATGTCATACCCAGGTACCCACGCAAAAATGAGACAAAGAAGTTTTCAATATACACAAATGAGCAATGAAAAAATGCCATGTTTATCTTGAAAACAGATTATTTATCCTTATCTTTCCAGTAACTAGGTATGTCAGTTATTACCTCTACTTGATATAGCACAATGACACTTCCAACACTCCATAAAAAAATTCCATAAAAAAGTGATAGATACATTTAATCTTAATGGATAGGATAACCTTGGCAAACTATGGAGGATGAACCTGCAGTAAGAGTCTTTACATAAGTTGACTTTTAGTCTTCAATAAAATTGTTAAAAGAAGCATCAGTCACAAGATAAGTATTCCTTAAACTATCTTAATATATAAGAATATAAGAATTATATAATTGTTATATTAAGAATAAAAACTACATTTTAACTGAAGCAGAAGCTACTGCCTAAGCCCTTATTTTGCCCTTTTTTGCTYTCTACCTTCAAAGATTGAAGACATAAACTCTGTTAGACCTTGTAGCAAAAAGATATAACCTCTATATCAGAATACCAAAAAGTCTACACATGGACCTGGCGGAGAAATGAGGCTGACAGGTAGACAGAGGCTATGGTGATGAGCAAAATATAAGAAATAACGTGAAGTACAGCAGGAAGAGGAGAAATGGTCTTACAGTAGGCATATGTAAGATTTGAACTCTACATTTAGAAAGACCATGAAGATACTTGCTTGTTATGTTATTTGTGATACCGCCAATAAGAGTGCTTTGGTAGGTATTTTTGTAAAGAGATGAGAARGAATAACATTAGTCTTTTAGAAAAWGCTCTAAAGATTAGCAGATGTAGAGAAGACAAAGATGTTCATAAAAAAGACCAAAAGGAGATGCATCACTCAGCATGGATGCACTTGCCCGACTGCCCAACATATCAACATTCACTTACAGAAATTAATTTTGTTGTCCTCTCACGGAAGCCATGCAGAGATTTGGTTAATCAGTATCCTAACAGGGGCCAGCTCCTACTTCCTTGACCTTATTAGACAAGCTGCTTTCACTGCAGGGAAATAGCTCCCGGTCTTTCATTTGATCCATGTTTACTTTGTCCAAAGCACCCTTTGTTTAGACATGCCAGATATAAAAACTTCTGTCTTTCTTTGCAGGAAAATATATGTTCTTTTTGTGAATAGTGATGAAAGTAARACTTTTTAAAAAATATACATTTATCAGCACTTAGAGAATTATTTTCTTTAACTGCTGTGGCTGACCATCTCATTGAAAGGACAATATGCTTGAGATTTTTTTTTTCTTCTTTCTCCCCTAGTGGTTTTACAGTGCYCAATATACCTCAGTTCTTACCTTCTTCATACCACTGCAGTGAGGAGTGGTCATAGTTATTAATAATGATCTCAAAATACGTGTATCACAAAAAATGGAGGAAAGAAATATTTAACATAAATATGGGTTAAAAATAGAAAAAGGGAAAATGGATAGCTAAAACAAATATGCACACCACCTTTACTGAGTATGCCATCAAAATGACAATATATCAATCACAAAATTATCAAGATCACGCAGAATGTAATGAGAAGCAAAAGAAGATTAATGAAAAGCAACCAATAACTATTCTATYGCTATTTATTTATTTATTATTTATTTATCTATTTATTGCTAAATGTGTATATTGAAAACAGAAAGTCTACTCAGAGTTATCCTTGGGAATCAGATAAAGGCCAAGACACGATAAGATTCAGAATCGTAACCTCAAATCAAGCTTGAAATCAACCTTTGCAAGGCAGGATAATAATCCTGCATCTATTATTTTTCATTCTGTCCAATTTTGGGGTAAGGCCGAAATATGCTGATGAAAGCTGTACTTGACTATTTCCAGCACAGCTGGAAATAGAAAATCATGGGCAAAGTAAGYTATTGTGAAATATTCATTTCAATGTCACTAAGTTCAGATAAGAAGGATAATTAGCTGAACTACAGTGTTTACTTACACTACACTGAATAACCTGTCAATGTCAATCACCATTACTTAAATTTAGTAAGGATATCCTAACGTAATTATCAGAAGTCAAAGACATTTGAATTCTATTTGGTAACCCTGAATTATTTTATGGCTCATTCTAGATGGATAATGCATCAATTATGACAGAATAATGCCTTACAGCATTGGCTGTGATGAAGGATTTACTGCATTCAGTACATATATATAGTAAAAGACTACAGTTATGCCAATGAGCCTACAGACCATACAAATGAGATATAGAAAAGATGTTTTACTTTCCCATTAGCAAACAGGCACAAGTAGGTTGCAATCTACTTCTCCCAATAAAGAATAAAAACAAAACAAAACAAAAAAAACCCCAACATTTTTCTTTTTAGTTCAAGAGAAAATACAGAATACATTGAAAGAGTTGGGAATTAGGACAAGCGCAAGACTAAAAATGATGTCTAAACTTCAGCAAATTTTGTCAAATACTTTGATTGAGGTTGAGAATATGAGCCCAAATGGGTATACAGGAAGCAATCATTTTTTCATGAAGAATACGTGCTTTACTGCACACACAAATTCTTCCTTCAGAAGGCTGTAAATAACAGTATTTATGGAATCTTAATGATCTAAACACAGTTGGAGCCTGAAGGTCAAGGCTGCAAACTGCATCCTAAATTTCTGTTTACAGATGAAGTATAGTATTTATTGCCGCACTGCCTGTGCTGCTATAGTTAAAGGGCTGCCAGCATTTCCATTATAAACCACTATTTCAGAGGTTTATAACTTGCCCATCAATTTTCCCACTGGGCTGAAACATGGCGTACAAGGTCCCAGCTGTGAGACTGATTTTATTTTCCTTACCAAATTACAAAAAGAAATGTTTTTTTTTTAAGTTTAAAGTTACCCAAGCAAACAAAAGTATGAGAGAGTTTTTCAAATACTTCCAGTTTTCCTGTGACACTAAACCATTACAGCTTCAGAACACAAAATATAGTTAAATTAATGTATCAGTTAATACTTCAGAGGACTTCCACTTCCAAAAAGGTGAAAATAATCCAAACAAAGACATATTGTTAGGTCTATTGCACAGTGCCTATAACAAATTGCCTGAGATACCTTCAGTGCTACAAGACAGATACATGTGTACACAAGCATGAGCTACATCAAACACACAAGAAAAAAATCCATTCACACAGCACCTTAAGTAGACAAAAAGTAGACAAAAGCTAAGAGGAGAAGAATACACTCATTTTAAATAGGTATCTAAAAGATGATACAGAAGATGTACTTTAATTTTGATATATACTACAGCTGATGTCACGTAGAATACGTGAAATTCAACATGTTGCCACAAACTGTGAAGAATCTTCATGGTCTACTTCTAAACACTGCAGCAAATTAATGAAATCAGGAGGTGAAAAATAACAAAAATTTAACCTCCACACAATCTACTTTGTCTGTGTGAATAATGAACTCTGTTCTTAAGTGCTGCTGAATGGTGAAAGACTTAATTTACATTATACCTGCATATCCAGCAATTTCATCTTGATGAGTAACAATCACGATACTTAATGCAAGAATTTAAATATTTGAGGACCTTTGTATCTTCACATTGGAATCCCAAGTTTTTTGTAAAATTTATTTTTACAAATAAAGAACAAGCACATATACTGGGCTACATTCAGCAATGGGCTGTTGTGACACTCATACTCAGCAGTTTCACAATCCCTTTGCAATTCCATATAAATTCAAGGAAGCAAGACAGGCACTGCAAAATCTGCAATATTAGCAGACTTCAGACTTTTTATTTATCCTGATTTATTTATTTTTTTAATTTCTATCATGAATGAAGTATCTATCAYCCCCCTGATTCCCTAAGGTAAAGCCGGGGTATGGCTTTAGAGATGGCTCAGCCTGTGGGCATCCTGTACTCAAACATATACACATTGTTATTTATGTTGTACAGTTGCAGGGCCAGGCACTGTGCTGTGCAGAACTGCCTTATTCTTTCCAAACTTTTGATAAGCTACCGATGACCAAAAGTTTTCGGCAGAGGAATTTATGGTGAGAGGTATAGATCTGCAGAATTCTTTCTTAGAAAGAGATGAAATGATCATGGCATTTCATCAGTTTATGCTGAGCTGCTGAATACACATGACAGAATAATTTTAAGTTGAGAAAGGATGATATAATGGTGACTATGGCCCTACTATTCTACTATTCTCTCTTTTGTACTAACTTTAATTGACTAAAAAGCTCCTAAAAACACTGCTATGTAATTAAATATGTTAAATAATGCCAAATAGGACCTTGTGCAACCCCAAGTCTTCAGCGATATGTMATTTTTTTTGATAAAATATAGGTGGAGCTTGTCAAGTACTATTCAAAATATGTCCTTCTTTTGAAAGCTTACTGCACTAACACAAATATCTGCCATGCTTCATGAGTTGCCATCACACAATACATCTTGTTAGCAGTGATGTCATGACAGAAATGCTACACTGCAGCATTTTAATGATCTCTTGCGTTGTAACGAATTTTTATTTTCTGCTGAAAGGATGAAACRGGGAAAAAACTAGCTTTGATCTTGGATTCTCCCAGACCTATTTTCAAAAGAGCATGACGGTTTGGCAAACCAAGTAGTGCGAGATTACTGTTTTAGCTTAAGCAGGTGAGTAAAGAACAGGTTGGAACACCGTACCTGTAGAGTCCTGGGGGAGCTTGCCGCACAACGAAGCTTTTCTCCAAGCTTTGTAGCACATCATTGAGCATCCTGACTCGGAGAGGAGCTCTCTCCTTGGGGTCGTTTGCTGGGCGCATCTCATCTGACTGGAACAGTTCTGCAGTGTCCCTCAGGCGTGATGCCACTGCAAGCAACTGCTGAGTATCTACGTGATCATCTAAAACAACAAGAGAAAGGCAGTTATCAACAAGCAAATCAGAGAATAACAGTTATTACTCTTACAAAATAAAATAAATATGGCATTTAAATTCAATCTGACTATAAGGGTGAATTCAAATAYGCTTAAAGCTTTACAATGATAACTTGATAATCAGAACTGGTAAACTGAGGGTATCAAATTATTTCTCAAACTTTACACAGATGGAGGCAGTCAGGGTGTGTAGCAAGAATGGAAAAAGTTGTATATGGAGGCTCCTATGCTTGACATATTCTCCTTCTTGTAAGGAAGTGGAGATTTGCTTTTGGATACACTTCAGCAAAGGGAAAGGCATTCACTGATCAGCTCTGTACTCCTGTCACTCAGCTGACTAAACTTTTCAATGCAGCACAAAAAGAAATGATCTGAAATACATTATCAGGAAAAGACAGATGCTGGAGTGAGAAAAAAATGTCAGATTTGCTGAACCATGAAGATGTACTTTAGCAAAGAACAGAAATTCCCATTGGGAAAAGGGGTGACATAAGATGTTTTCTGCATCAATCCTGGTTTGGGACAAGGTTGTTTATAACTTACTTTTCACCAGTCCACCTTCCCCCAGTTAAAATGGGTAATAAGCAACACTGCATCTTGATGTTGCCTGGTATCTTTCCAATTTGGTCTGAAGCAGTTCCAAAGTCTGATTGATTGGTTGATGCCACAGAAAAATATTCAAATACTTTTGGAAAGGTACTTTGCAAAACAGCAATATGGTCAACCTTCAAGTTTAAGCGTAGTTAAATTTCACATCTCAAATTCTGCTTATTTGTTTAATCAACCTAAAGGATCAAATAGCAGCTTCCCGGTTCCATGGAACTGTGAATCTTATCGTAAGCGCAATAATTTAAGTAGCAAACTTACAGACTAATAGAAGTCTGATCTTTATAATGTAATTTTCTTTCTTTAGATCCCTTTTCTTACTCAGAACCCCTCTTTCTGAAAACAAGCTCTAGAATCCAACTACAACTTACTGATGGAGATGAAAAGAAAAAGAAAGATCACGCTTTGGTCCAGCTTTACTCAACATTATTGAGTTATTCAATTTATAAAACCAATTAAGATAATTTATTTATATATATAAATTTATTATATTTATATATATAAAAATATTTTTTACATATATTTATTATATATACATGCTTTCTTTAAATATTTAAGAGACTTTATTCTAATGCCACAGTATCTTGTATGTTGCTGCTTTTAAAACACATAGATACATACATCTATCTGAGATATCTACAGAGAAATTTCATTTTTAAAGGTAAGCTTGAAACTACGCAACATGGCTAAGATTCAGCTAAAATACAGTTGGATAGTATTTTTTTCCAACAAGCTCAGATCTGAAAGCAGATCTGAAAGCAAGAAGTGAAAGACAGAACAAATTCAAGGTTGTTACTATTTCCTTAGAGAGTTGTAAAAAATCACTTCTTGTAGAAGAAACCTACTCTTAMGACTAGATAAGTAGTACTTAGCGCCATCTAGTAGTTAGACACATGCCAGAAAAAATATCTGGCATAAAATCTTCATGGTCATTTCTCAGTAAAAACTCTCTAAAAGGAGATACCAAAAAGGAATTAAGAATTTCTTGTTAAATATAAGCCTTCTTTGGCATTTTACATTCTGCTACTACTTTGTTTTTTCCCCAATCTTTTTGTTTTGCTTAACTGAAGAATTCTCGTGGTGAGTTTGGCCATGAGACCATGCAATCAWGGTCTCTTTTTAGAGAGAGATGTGATCCTAGAACAGGTTTTGCTTTGTCCATAAAAATTAATAAAGAAATCCCTTATCTGCATCAAGCATATGCTAATAACACATCATGGTGAAAATACTGAGATGATCCAGAGCAAATAACCCGTGCAACTGATGACCTTTTTAAAATTTCCATGCGTAACCCAGCTACTGTGCATAGCTTATCCTGGGACTTGTTCTAGTATGGAAAGGTTAAAATTTACCCTATTACACTGTTTTAGTTTCAACAGAGCACTTAATATTCCACGTATCATATAATATTTATAATTTTTATTCTATGATATAAGCAATTGTCAGCAAATTGTATAAGCAAATGCCAGCTATGCCTTTTCAATAGAGAAGGTAAGAGAAAAGGAAAATACATCATTGTGAGCTTGGAAATGAAGCCATTCAGACCACTTTTTCAAACAAAAAAAAAGAAGGTACCAAATGCTTCCCCTACCTCACCMTAGGATGCATTTTGCCTCTAAACCCCTAGATTCCATTTTACAGTCACGAGGAAAAAGCTCTGCTTACATCACAGTTTAAAACAGCATTCATTACGAAACACCAATACACAGACTCTTGTTTTAACATTTCACTACAAAACTTGGAAATGTCCAAGACTATCGTTATCACAGAGAACTAAGGACACAGCTTTAACGGTGTCAGTACTTTTTATCCCAACACACCAAATTTTACTGCCAAGTGTGATTTATGCTTTGTACAAATTAAGAAGCTGGGAGTAGAAGGGCAAATGGTTTTCAAAAAAAAAAAAAAAAAAAGGATGTATTAACTAATAATGCCTTAAACATCTTGTGACACCTCTGGAGAGAAAAGAAAAAAATTACAAGTGTTAGTTCACTCGAGAGAAAACAACTCCACTTTATTATATTTTCTATTCTTTGTCCTTTTCCAGTATGAATCATGATGAATCATCYGAGCTAGTTGTTTAGTTGTTAAATAAATAAAATTGCAAGTACAAGGAAGTGACTCAAGAGTCTGTTTGCTGTTGATCGCTGAACTATATTGTTGAATTTCATTACACTTGCTAAGTGTAAACGTTTTTTATTCAAAAATAGGTTACATCAAATGGGTACTTAAGAGATGGATTGAATGCAATAGCCTTTCTCTGTGCAAGCAATTGCTCTTTTGAAAGGTAATATTAGAGATTTAACATTTTTAAATCACGCTTGTGCCTTCTGGTATCAATGTTCTTGCCCAGGTGGGTTACAGACAATCGCTTGGGCGCTGCCAGATGAGCAGTTTAAAGCATGGCACTCACATTCTGTAAATGTGGATGAACACGTGGCTGCATGGGAGCAAGGGGAGAAATTGCTCCAGACCTGGAAAACCTTGGGCAGTCAGGATTGACTGCAGTGTGTTGTCATACGCACTAGGAGGATTTTTCATGCTGTGCAAAACTGGGACGAGAGGAAAATCTGAATGTGAAAGCTGTGTAGAAAACACCCTGAAGGGGGCAGAAACACAAATCCACAGATCTCCTCAGTGCAAAAATRATGTTGCCATCAGCTTGAATTTTGCTGCCTTGATTACTACTGGCCAAAGCAAACCAATTTGTTGTTGCTGCAACAAGCCTCTTTTCAGAGAGGYTGTCATGCTACTAAAAAGACATGTTGTGCATATTATAATGCATGCCAATACAGACAAAGTTACTAAGGCCATTGCACACAGCTGCTGAACTATCTATAGACTACTGATACAGAAGAGGTGCCTGTTTTTCCCTTCAGCACCAACTGCTTTATCCATGTAAAATGCATTTTTCTATGATGCTTCAAGGCCAGGTGGAAGGTTTGCCAGTACTGCTCCATAATGCGTGTGAAAGGACAGCGAATAGATGTCAGGCTCCTGACATCATTATGGTCTCGAATGATAAGTAACTACTGAATTTTTCACCTCTGGAGAAGCCAAGAATTATGGCTGGAGACAATGAGGGGGAAACTCTCTGAGCATTACAGACAGCTGGAGAAGTAATTCTGAAAAGCACCATAAACCCTCCAGGAAATATGGTCAAGCAGTTAAAATGATCCCACGCTGAAGACTAGCACATAGCTGCAGGCAATGAGATTGAGGCCATCAAGCAAATGACAAAGAATATGTCATATTTCTGCACTGATTTAAGAACTGAAAGTTCAGACTGATGATTTGAAACGTACAGGTTGAGCCGCAGGCTGTAGAAAATCATGCAAACTTTCCCAGAAACAGCTTATCATGAAGCAGAATATTTCTAAACTTCCACATTGCCTGCTATTAGCATCACTTTAGCTACCGTAGCATCTGTGCAACTTGTATTTTCTCGGAGGAGAAGAAACGGCCTAACTCACGGGGAAATAAATCCGACTGGTCTTGTCTCCTGAACAGGAGCAAAACAAAATCTGATCCCAGTTCACATGTTTTCATAGGCCACTGTGAGCCGGTACATATTAGAGGCAGGCRGTAGCTTATCTAATTTGCTCAGCTGCTTCACTGACGGGTGATGAAATCAATGTCTTGGGAATCTTAACATTTGTGCCTGGTGCACCAGGCAGGTGCAACAGAGCAATTTTTAAAAGGTCTGCCAGAGCCACGGTGGGTCCAGTGAGTTTTAATGACAAAACAGTGTCAGCTTCTGCGGTTAAGAGCACCTAAAGTGACAGACGGGGCTAGCAACACAGCTGGCTGCCTCCCTCTTTGCAAACCACAAGTTGAACTTGCCATTGCTGAGTCAGTCAGGTGCACAGCTAGAGARAGGCTTCTGATCCATGGCGAGATGCTTTAACACCTCTGTCATCAATCCCCTGAGCTTSCTGTAAAAAACTAAATTTTAATGAAGCTTGATTCCATGCAAGATAGGCTCCAAGGAGGAAGTCCAATCTGCACAGTGCTAAAAGCATTCAGCTGACAGTATGAATATGTTTTGAATAAAAATGCTTGCAGGTAATCCAAGCATTTGTATCATTCACATACTGGATTTGATGTCTTGCCTGCTCCAGACCTCAAAAGATAAATTGGGTTTTCACAGTATGCAAGACTTAGCAAGATATTCTTGTATTCAATTCAAGCTGCARTGTGTCTTGACTTTAAATGTACTAAAGGCACAAACACTGCAYTACTGCAGCGTGCAGTTAATGAGAATAATCTTTTTAACCTATTTATAAAACTAATAAACAAAAAATCAAATTGTGATTGGACAGATCCTCTGCAAACAGATATTGTAAGATACTATTTTGTGCTATTACTACACTTCCCCTTCTAAATTCTCAAAATATTTAAAACATTAAGCCATACAAATTCCCTGTGTGTAAGGAACCACAAATAACTGTGTCATACCAGCATGGAGAAATTATGATTTGCAGCAGGCACRTAACAGAGACACTTGGAAGAAATCTAAATCCTCTCATTCTCGATGTGTGTTATCACTAGACAATCTGTCTGCTCTGTTCTTAACAGCCTCAACAGCCCAGGGAGCTGGATTTCAATCTCAGAACCAACTCATGACATTTATGACCTCCCAAGCTGAACATCAGCACCAGTAGATACACAGAAGGAAAGGTGTCACCAGTCACAACCCTTCTTGTCAGACTACCCCCAAAGCAGTAGTTTGTCTTTAYGAGTTTTAGGGAGTGCAAGGGAAGAAGAGAGCATATCTTACTTAACAGCTGTTCCCCTYGTTGTTTGGAGGAGTATGTCTCAAGCCATACGTAAACATGTAGCGGGTGATAGTTCCTTAAAACCTGTCCATCCCAACTGGAGTTGTTTATAAAGTGCTCAATAACTTCAAGTCCTCTGGAGTTTAACAGGTACTAAGGATACCCAGCACATCACAGAACTGTGTCCTGTGAAAGGACATATCAGTACGGTACTAATGAATATTAAGAAAGGCACACACCCCCTTATGTGAGGACATCCAGGAAAGTACAAGACTGCAGCTTGGRTACCCAGGTATTTACACACAAGAATCCAAGAAAGGTCAATAGACAATAAAATCATGAGGAAATTTGTTTTTGAAGGGCACAGTATGAACATTTTTTAAGACATTATCACAGATGAAGGAATAACGTTTACCTTTGTTAAAATAAATAAATACTTTCCCATTGGCCGGTCCTAACAGCAGCATGCTTTGGCGCATGCTTTGAAAGTTCACGGAGTTGGGGGAATGGCAATGATGACAGCACCTTGTCAGGGCTGTACCTTGGGCCATTCCTTTTAGGTTTGCTTGGTTCTGACCAAACTTTCAGCTTCTCAAGTACTTCAGTTTGCACTCATCCAAGAAAYGAAATGAGAGTTTGGCAGCTAAATTAGGAAAAGGTTTAATCTCCCAGTACCAAGCCACTCATATGCTCTCCACATCCAGTCTACTTTCACCTAATCACTGAAAGAAGAGGAGAGTTGGATCTTGCTTAAATATGTTAGGAAGTTGTATGGGAGAAGGAAGACAGATAATCCTGAATGAGGGGGTGATGCAGAGGAGTGTAAAGGGACAATTGGAGAACCTAGACATCCTCTCCCTCCCTAATTCTCAGGATTCAAGTTAAAAAGACCATTCTTTTCATGAGCACTAGGAAGGTTTATTGTTCTGCAGGTTAGGTGCTACCAGAGGACATCACAATGATGTAAAAAGTAAGTTCTGCACAACRCATCAGATACAAACTGTATTAATGAAGAAGAAAGAAAAACAAACAGCTACCATCATCTGTAAAAGGAATATAGCTTTGTATCCTCTGAACTGTGCAAAACTTAAGCTGCTTAAGTCCAGGGCCATAGGCTTAATAAAGCTCTACTCAATACAGTACAAAAAGGGTGCACAATACTTCTTTTATCATCAACTTCCCTCAAAGGCCCCAAAGGCCCCAAGACAATACAGAGCATTAGAAAGGAACAAGTTTTTAGAAGTTATTAGAAAGAAACAAGCATTMGAAAGGAACATAGTAGTATCAGCTCTACAATCTTAGTGAAGCTCATTCACATCAAACCATTCATCCTATACCTAGCACACAGGGTCAAATGGAGAAGATATTCCTCTAACAAAAATTACCTTTTAGATTGTTCTGAACTTCTAATGCGATGTCGAGGGCATTAAACGGCAAAACTGGTTCAGTGGCAATTCGCAAAGTCACTTGTCCTGTCAGCTGAAAAATATATATATAAAAAAATACAAAAGAGTCAAATAATGTCCAACAAATTTAACAGTCAGCATTTCTTTTGGAAGAGAACCTACTTTTATTACATTGGATTTTCACAGAAAGCTGAATAAAGCCTCACAAACATCGATTTTAAAAGGAGTAGGGCTTTGTCTTTCTATTACAACATAAACAAGTGTAAAGAGATGATGATTTATGACCACACACAAGAATCCTGTGCAATACCTCTTCTTTGGTCTGATGGGCTTCAGATTTCTGTTGTCAAATAAAACATCTTGTCTTTCTAAAAATATATATTTTTTTCCTTAGGTTTCTTTTCTGGCAGCACATTTTGAGATTATGATTGAAAATACATGAAAAAACAGACATAGATTTACACCCCCAAATATATTTGCATTGTATATATATTTATTTGCAGGTTGTATATATATTTATATATACAYACAGATAGACTCTTTATTCTCTTTTGTGAATACGTTCTTTACAGTCTTCTGTGATTGAACCCTTGGCCAGAAATCACATAGTTAAGAGCAAATTGAACAGCAAATCTACCACCTTTTGAAGAGAGAGGTGACAACTTGACACAAAAGAGATCCAACTTCTAAACAGGGCAAAATAAATTCTAATTTTCAGCAAGAACTTCCCAAATGAGTGGAAGGGAATTCAGTCCATGCCAGGCTCCATGACATTAGGATTCCATGAAACTCAACAGCATGAATGCTCCTTTTCAGCAGTCACGGAGATGTGCCCAAGGACTAACTAGCCTGGGTGTTCTTTCACCTTACAGAAGAGCTCTACTGCTCAAAACTCAGAAATGTTACAGGGGCCAYGTATAAAAATGTGCCTTTCTGCTGTGCTATACCTCACCTGTGATTAAACAGAGGATTTCAGCCTCCAGGCTACCAAGCCCATCACCGTTCATGGAAGCTATAAAACCACACTGACAAAAACATGCAAGAAACTTTCATTCATCTCCTTCATATCTTGATATTGCAAAAAGAAAAAAATAGCTGTAGGGCTACGCTTGAAAACGGAGCAACGGCTGCAGGTAATGTTGGTCGTGCTGATAAAAATGTGGAGCGAATAGAATCACATTGAACGATGCTTCCCAAGGTGTTAGAGGGGTTAGAATAATATCTATCCTTCAAACCATGAGAGACTTGCTCTGCTGAAAGTAGTATTTTAATTCTACAAAACAAAGCAATAGGAAAGGACAACAGTGCTAAGTGATATTAAAAACAATAGTACTGCAATTGAGAAGAAAAATCCCCTCTTGGGAAGGAGGATGAAGCCGGGGTAATACCAAAAATACAGGTTTCCTGGAGAAGGATTAACAGAACCCCAACAGCTCTTTCAGGAACACATTAAAGAAATATATTTCTTAACCTGGCCACTGCCTAATTTGARTACAGTGACTAAAGGAGGAAGCTATGTATTTGACTGCAAGCTACATTTAAACAAGGACCTATTGTTTAACTATTTATATATATATTTAGAGAATAAAATACAGCCAAAGGCAGAGAGGAAAAGAAAGACAAGGTCCAACAGGAGAAAAAGAAAAAAAAAAAAAAAGTAGAAAGGAATGAGGATATGTCAAAGATGTGCTCAGGAAAACCAAAGAACTAAAGATGCACTTGGAGGAAGATGAGAAATACTCTGGACATCCATGTTAAAATATTACACACTAACCTCTTATGACCGTCCTCCCAACATCCTAACAGTATGGGACATTAATGYTTGAAGGCCATTGCATTTGCTGTCAGTGCTTATACACAGAAAAGTCTGTGAGCTGAGAAACTCCCGTAAACACTGTTCTTTGGAGAATCACAGAGGTGTCATGGAAGCAGAGATGAACAATTGTAGAGCCAGCAAGATGTACAATAACTCATTTCCAGAAGGGGTTCTATATATAATTCAGCCATAAGGAATGGGCTAAATGACCACACACCCTGCAAAATCTTTCCTTGTCCTTGCACTCAACTCCTTCAGGATGCAATTGCCCAAAATATTAATAATCTATAAGTTGCTGTGGAAGAGCAACTGCAGCTATAAAATAATAGCCTATTAAACAGAAGGCAGCTAAAACACAATGAGTACCACTATGTCACATTAAATTTTTTAACAACTTCCTTGACTCCCAATTTTTGCAAAATACTTTAGTATATCTTAAAAAAAGATACTTATTTATACCAGGTTTATGTGCATTTTGGAACATGAACATTTATATACTGCTACTGATTCTTTTTAATCTGCATAGCTTAAGAATAGAAAAATAAAGATTCTTTTTCTGAAGCACCAAAGAGGTATTAAAGGACACCAGTCAGTATATTTTTGTTTCATCATCTACAGCATCAAACTTCTGTTGTTAGTTCTTCCTCTGATTTCTATTTTCCTGCAATTTCTATTTTGCAATTTATTTTTCTACAAAAGCCTTTTTTTTTTTTTTTACTCTTATTTATTCAAATACAACTACACCCTCAAAAGCTTGTGCCTAAAGCATTTTGAAATGCTTATAGTGTAAGCATACCTACTATACAGACATTTGTATGCCAGTTAACAAGTAACAGGGGTGTTTATTAAATCACATACTTTGCAGTTTAACTTGGAAGAAATCAATCACGCAAAGGAAACCTCCAAGCATTGATTTGAACAGAGTAAGTAACAAGGCTGCAGAAACATCTATCAGACCCACATAAGGTAGCAAGACAGAAAAGGCCACTGATTTCTTATTTATATTCCTTTTTTTCTCTTCTGTATACACAAACTCCTGAGCAAAACACTGAATATACATGAAAATAAAGACAGGTTTCTACCTCACCTTTTTGTCTTTCAAAAATGGTCCAGACTGACTGTTGAATCATTAAGACAAGAATAATTTAGGAAAGAATAAAGACAACTATTTTCTCATAAACTGAAATGTTAAAGTAACACAGAATTAGTTATAATACTAATGACAACTTCTCAAATAAGATTTATTTATAATAGTAGAAACACAATACACACAATAATTGAACCAACATATGCACGGATACCCAGTCAAAGGAAAAATGTTATAGTTCAAATGCTAATGATTCAGAAACGCTTTCTTTTACGATGTTAGATGAAAAAATAATGGAAAATATTTCCACTTGACTTTGGGATAGGTATTCTTCACTAAACTGGGCTTAATGAACTTCCAATTATTTCAGAGATAATATTAATGTAAATAACTGTAACTCCCAGAAAGGGGTATGATCATAAAATAACTGGATTAAGTATGCATTGTACTCCTACATAAACTAGAATAAACTCTTACCTTGTTAACTCTTTCACATTATAGATGAGAAAACCTAACTAAAATGGAGTGTCGGGGGGAGTTCTCACAAAAAAAAAAAAAAAAAAAAAAAAAAAAAAAAAAAAGCACATCTGCTTTATCAGTGGGAAATATTCTAAGAAGAATTTGCTTCTAAAATCCAAATCGTCCTCCCTAACAGCTCCAAATACTTTATTTGGTGTGTAGAATTAAAAGAACAAGCAAAAAGCTTAATATTAAAAATCCAGGACATGAAAAACTTAAGAGGCTCCCCTCAGCCAGGAGATTTTGCACAAATTGAGTGGTGCTTTTGGGGCATGCTGCTATTGATTATGTCTTGCGAAGCCACCTCGCAAATGCTCCATGGTTTTGACAGACAACACAGGGATGACAACCTGTCTTCCCGTCTGTCATATGAACAGAAACTTGCAAGATGAATCAAATGAAAACATATTTATTGGATATGATGGWATGGAAATATTACAGAAATATGTCAGAATAAACAGCCATATACAGTGTGTTGGCAGATTCTCCAGCAAAGAGGTTCACATTTTGCTTTTTATGCTTTTTTTTTTGTCTTTTTTAAAAGTTTTTTCTCTCGTCAACTTGCACTTGGAGCTATGCAGTGAATCTTGCCTGTGTGCCATGCAGCCCTCAGTTGATCTAAGTGMTCAATCTGTCCTTGACACACTTTAGGAAATTTTCAGTAATATTAAGAGGGCTAAATTCTAAAACCTCAGAGAATTCCCAGAACCATTCCAACACAAAGTTACAAACAAAATTAACTTAAARATATCAGTTAAACTGCTTATCCTTTTGTGAGCACTGCTTTTCGGCAATGTTGTACCCCAATTTTACCTGCTGAAGYGACTTAGATATTACAAGCCAGAATTGTGCCCTGGCGACATCTCTGTATTTCGATCCACATACTTCTACAACATCTCTTTTATTCTTTCCTGCACACTATCATTTCCAGATTTTTATTATAGTATTGCATTTGCTGCATGCTAAAATCACTTTTAGCTTACCAATATCTGTGCAGTTTCAGCACGCCACGGCAGCTCATGAACCAAACGTGCAACGACTGATTTCAGAAAGCAGATAATGCAGTGTCGGTTGCACAGACCTGCATGTGTAAAATTGCCAACCACAGGCTCAAATTGTATGGGTGTAACAGGGCAACTTGAACTCTGGACCACCATTTCCCTCTTTGAAAGCAGGCAGTATTACATTTTTGAGTTGCATTCCTCCACACACTTTGCACTTCTCCTTCCACACGTGTTATCTATGAAGTTTACGACTGATGAAAAACTGCTGTGCTATTCAGGTTATTCAATAGCAACAAGCTGAAAATGACCTTGCTAGCAATGGTTGTGTCCACATGCTTGCCAGTAAGGGCTAAATCTCATTCCCCTCTCAGAATCTAAATTATCATTCCCCAATCTCTCCATGGTTCAAAAATAAAGATATATTTTAAAAAATCCAATTATTTTGATTTTTTTTTAAGTAGGTATGAGAAATGGAAGTTGTTTCAGTGAAAGATGATTTCCAGGCAGCAGCACCTAGTACCATGGGATGAATAACAGAAATTAGAAGATTAAAAAAAAAAAGAAAAAAAACAAAAAAAAACAAAACACACTTGCATCTTTAATTGCAAGTCAAGAATCTCAAGACTTTAGAAAAATCTCCTGCATAA